TTTTTTAAACAAAGAAAAACCCCTCCAAAGTCATCTGTTCAAGCGCATCTGTTCTGATGAGTGAAAAGATTGCCCTAATCCTTGAGCTTTTGATACATCTTAAATCCAGGAGTGTGAACGTTCCCAGTGCTCAAGAATACACTGGAATTGGTGTCTACAGATTTATCTGCAATGGAGGCAACGCCACAGGCTGCACACGCAACACGACTACGCTGGGTTGCTGCGCTGTGCTCTTACTTAAAAGCAAAGCTGCACTGCACAGAAGGGCTCCCGGTGGCCCCCGTCTTCCGTGCAATGACTTCACTTCACAGACGGGGATAATTTGGGCCTGGCAGCGCCGTGGTGCCAGGCAGACGCCATGAGCAAACCAAATTAGCTTCACCTGGCGCCTCACAAGCCCCTCACAGCCGTGTCCTCTCCCCGTGGCTAATGATGATGTAAGAAACTTTAATAGGAGTCTGATTTGTGCAGGCCGGCTTTAACTTTTTGGGGACAGCTGTGTGAGGAGGCCTCTGGCAACCGACAAGCGAGGACTCCTCAGGGGCGGGAGCAAAGATGTCCACGGCCTCAAGTCTGTGGTGGTGGTTTCACAAACATGGATACACACTCAGCTCATGGGGGTCTTCAGGCCTAGGTAGAGGACTTCGTGCTATTGCCACGATTCCTAGTTTAGCCTTTCCAGGGCCTTACCTGGCAACAACTGAAAAAAGCTCAACACTCAGCAAAATAAGCAGTGCTCTCTTGCAGACACATTTATCTTTCTGAAACGTCATCCTCAGCATTAAACCACTACTTCATGTAGCACAGAGTAAATAAAAGCCAACTTCAGACAGTTTACTTGCCGCAGCTCAGCAGGTTTTTGGAAATAAAAAAAAATAATAATTTTATACAGACATTTGTCTGTACCTACAGAAATAATTACACCACAGTGTGCCTAAGAGGGGTATATACACACATATGCTTCTCTTCTGGCAGTTCAGTATAGAGGACTTCTATCCAGAAGAGTCAAGTTTGCTGCACCCGTTGGTGCTCTCAGTCTTTCAAATTTGCCTGCAAGTTTGAACAGGGCAACTGCAGTGCTTAAGTTGGTTAAAGCAGCTCAGAATAGATTTGAAATAAATTTTGGCTTTTTCCTAGGCAGGGAGATAATTAACAGGTCATAACTGCTGGGATGTATAGCAGCAAAGACTCTCAAACAACTAAATATATGAGGAATAAAACAGAAAAGTTAAAGGGACTGTAATTTGTCCAAACTGCACAGTGAAAGGCAAGAACTTTTTGCAGACCATCAACACTAAAGATGTGGCATTCTTAAAATAGCTTGATATCCAGTTATGACCAGAACTATTCTCACTCAGGGCTCCACTTGAGCATGCAGGAAGGGAAGAGCTTATCGGAGAAGAATTTTCTTTCCATGGTGGGAACAACTGCACGATGAGGGGTCCCCACCCAGCATGGGATTCCATCACCAACCAAGGATGCCCTGGCACATGCAGGGGCACTACAGGCTTGTTGAAACCTCTCAGCTTTTATTAATTAGATTCCTGATAGAAGTAATAAAACCCTGTAGCAGAAAGCCACACTGCTCATTCCTGAATTATATAAAATCATTCGCCATTTTATGTACAAGTTTTGAATTACAATCTTCAGCTTCTCATCAGAAAAGGAAAAAAAAGGCCTAAAAAAAGAGGTTTTGGTAGAACTGCACAGTATACAGATGCATATTTTCAATTACACATTATCTTACACAACACGTTCTTTAACAAAAAGCAGAGCCTGTTATCTTTTTAGGAGGCAGTGCCAGACAAAAGTAGGTGTTTCACCTCCATGATCAGAGCAATGGCTTTAACTGGACATAAGAGGACATGAAAGGATTCCTGAATGCTCTGACATAGCTTAACAGAAAAGTACATTTGTAAACAACTTTACAAGAAGTGTCTTATGAAAGTGATAAGCCACTAGAAAGATAAGCTGCTGAGTTCTGCTTGGCAGAAATTGCTATACTCTACCTTTATAGCTTTCTACGATATAGAAATTTGCTCACACAGAACACCTCACTGAGAAAGCAGGGCGAATATAGTTTCTGATGGAATTAAGAAAGGGGCAATTCGAAGGCAAAAGGCCAAGCTCCAAATTCCCTTTGCACATCGTGAGAACAGCAATACAACCTAACTACTGAAAATGGGAGCGAGTTCAACAGTGTATGGCAGTACAGTACTTATTTTACACTCTTGAGACCCTTTTTAATAGAAACTTTGAAAACTTGTGATTGTTAGAAGTGATGTTTGTATTATGTACCATTAAGTTAGCGTTGTGTTCAATTCCACTATTCAAATTAAGTGACTTTTCACATTTAATACTGATTTACTTCAAGCATCTCTGTTTTATGAGAAGGCAAAGCATAAAAACTGTCCTGGTTAAATCATTTTGTGTACGTAATTATCAACCATGCATCTGAAGTCAAGCATTAGTATTTACACCGCTCTACTTCAAGCTTGAACATATGTTAAACAAGCTGCTGACCACTGACTGTGTCCATTTTGGTAGATGGACAGATGTATGCAAACAGCAATGCTTTGGATAACTTGTGCTATTCCTAATACTAGAGTTATTTTATCTGCCAATTACATTTTGCTATAAATATGTGTGCCCTTAAGTTGCTCCCAATATCAGTTTCAGCTCACTAATCAAATTATCTGCTAAGGTTTGGGGAATGATAAACCTTCCTTTATTTAAATAAAATGAGGGAAGGGTTTTTAACTCCCAGAGCTTTGCCAGCAATAGATTAATTTTCAAGAGAGAATCACACTGTTCAGCAAACTGACCTTCATCTTTGTTGTTCACACAAAAGCATTGTATTATTTATGTTTATTATCAGGTAAGCAGAGAGGGAAAGTATTTTTTATACTGAGACTTTTATCAGTAATATTTTACCAAGCTCTGCTCATGGCCTCCTATGAACCACCACTCACTTTGCATAAGCACAAATCAAAAGTTAGATTATCCCTATTCTGAGGGTTTGGCAGCTAAATTTCTATTTTCTATTTTCACTTTGCAAAAGTGCTATTAAAAGCCACCCCCAAATGTGTGTGCCAAGAACTTACAAATATACTGAGAAATTATTCCTAAGTGCCTCATTTTTCTGTCAGCTAAAAGATAATTCATAATTCAAATAATCAATATGCGATGAAAACAAATAGTTATTTTCTCCCATGCTTAATGGTAAATAACAATCCCAATCGTTGCATATTCTGCCTCAGTTCATTAAGTGCAATTGTTCAGCCACAAAGGCAGCAGGCATTCTGTGATGGGCTTGCTTTGAACGACGTTCGAATGAGTGGAATAACCGAGATTCCTGAGAGAGGTCGAAGCCACTTCCCTCATTTTCCTAATAGCTTCCGCTATTTGCATACTCAAGTCCATTTCATCACTTACTATTTAAAATAAATGCATCTCCCCACACCCTTCTCTCCCTATCCAAAGCAAATTTATTTACATTTATTGTAAATATTTTTCAGCAAATAAGGCGTAAGGAAAATCCAATAGACGATATTAAGGCAATGATTTTATAAAAACTTGTCTTTCTCAACTTCCTTCCAAAGATGCTAAAAGCACAAAAGCTTTAAATGTTTTAAACACACTTTCCACACATTTTTCAATTCTTTCATTTACACAAGAGACCAACTTTGCCCAGTGAATCACCTCCACGATTTTTGCCCAGTAATCAGATAAAATTACACACTATTCCCCCCAAGAAAGTAAAGAAAATACAGCCTTTTACTTCAAATATTTTATGAATGCAAGATTACAAGAAACATATTTGTCAAAATGCAGGGCTATCAAGCACTGAACCAAAGATGCTGGCATCAGTTTGACTACCATTTTGCATGTGGGGGGAAAAAAATACACTACGTCTACAGGTAAAAGGCATCACTTCTGCATCATGATTACTCTGGTCAGCCAACATCATCTTTGCAGCTTGGTGCATGTTTAAATCCTGAAAATAACTGCTATTGTAAATCTGTTTGAGATGAGACACTAGAACAAAACCATTCTTGAACAGGAAAGTTTTTGTTTTGCTCTTATCGAGGTAACATCAAGAACTAAATACAAGATCTTACAATTTAGCAGCCACTTTAACACTTGTTAGGCTAGCCTTCACACAAGGAGCATGCATACAGGCACCGCTTACTGCACTTGCTTTCAGTTGAGGGCTGTTGATTCAAGTCACTGTCTTCTCACCTGATTTGATTAACCTGTTGAACTGAATGTTCACCAAAGGAAAATTAAATGATGTTATAAGTGTAGCAGACAAATACAGACCACACCAAGAAGCTAACACTCATGAGTTGTCATAATAAGGGATAATAAAAAAAAAGGTCAGTCTTTTCTGTGCATATTTTTCATTGAAAAGGTCCCAGGGAATCATGATGTGCCTGGCCGTTTCTGTTGCTGATTTCTGATGACCTCTAATTGTTTTTTGCATTGCTGATAGTAAGTTGAGAGACTTTTGTTTTCATCTAACAGCTTTTTATGTTCTTGTACCAGACGGGATGTATTTTGCTGGTCTTTTTCATCCTGGTCCAGTTCTGCTATTAGTTCTTGTCTATAGTTTAAGAAGAAGAAAAAAAGCTTTGTCATATATATATTCTATTTATATTTGCAGACAGGCAGCTTCACATGTTTACATCATTATTAATTAGTCATGGCTAGTGATATTTTCTCCAAAGAAATTACTCCACATGCACAAATCTTATTCTTTGCCGCAGTCTGAAGAAAAGTGCTCTTTCAAAACTAATTCACATATCAGCTTTAAAATTGCTGAAAACCACAATCTCAGCCACTAAAGTTATCCTTTCTATAAAGGATTTCAAATGCTATTCTACAGGTTACATTACAGTACCTAAGAATCCACATAGGAATTTATAAATATGTTCAAGTCTAATTGATTAACCACATGTATATTGAAAAACTTAAAACTTCAACTTAAAAGGAAGATCTACAATTCTGTTAACTTTACAGTAAAACGCTTTTCTATTTGAAGCTGAACTTCTTAAAGTTCAGCAGAAAGCAAAAGCAAGTAGAATATTTTTACAACTGTAATTTCAGCTCATTAGTGCAATAAATGGTCAAAATGTTTTAATAAATATTGTAGGGA